GGGCCCGCTATGAACGCTGAGCGCCTATTAAAATTAGAATATTGGCTGCAACTAATTGATGATCCGGAGGCAGTTCTTATTTCAATAAAGTATATTCGAAAAGCGGCCAATTTACGCACGAACAGCGAGCAAAATGACAAGCAATTAACACGGTTTCACCTACACATTTTATTTAGTGCAGGCCAGACTTGACCTTGGCCGTGAAGGGAGAACATAACGCCCTTCAGAGCTATGGAGCTGACACCAGGATTTGATCCATGAGACACAAACCGCTTGGCGCCACTTTTCAGAGGGCTCATAACTGCTCGCATTAAAAAATAACATCCATGACCGTCCTTTAATCTGAAAAGCTTTTCAGTGAACAATACTTGTTGGTTTAGTTAGAGCTGGAAATATGCCTATCAATATACATTTTCCCACATGAGAAAGACGATAGTAGATTTGTTTGCAAAGTAATATTGTTCACATTAGCTCGTCACGTGTAGAAGCCTTTGTATTAGGCAAAATGTCATTATTAGCTATCATTTGGTAAGTGCTATTTTACCAACTAAATTTATCTCACGGCGGCCGATTTATTGGAGTTCAGAACCAGAAAACTGGAATTAAAGTTGTCTGGCATTTTCATGCGTGTACGGAATCGGCATGAACAGGGCTAAACAAGGGTTTTCTGACATCTGTATCTCATTTCTGCGAGCTGTAGCTACTCTGTTTCTGTTGCGTCACAACCTCCTGGGATGAGATGAATGGTCGCTCTGCGTGTATGCATAACTGCGCATCCTTGTACCTGTGCTTGGGCTTCTTCTGGAAGACAGTTTTAAGTTAAAGGCCGATAAGATGTGACCACAAATCTTCTGATGTTCTTTTACGGATGGGTTTGAATTAAGAGAACATCCAAACTAGACATAAAATTATTGGATTTGGGATGAAGCCCGTAGTGCCACACAAATATGGTATAGACATAAAAACAGCCTACGACTCTTTTAAAAATGCTTCGATTTCATTGTTACTCTGTTCCAAAGGTTTCATTAGGAATTACCTCTGGTGTAAAAAGTGCACACGTTCTTTTAAAAAAGCTGAATGTGTTCCTACATCAAGGTTTCGTGTTGAGCTTATTTATTAGTAGTTTAAGGTTTGCCTTGCTATCTGACAAGTGATATGATAAACTGAAAACGTCCCACATGTACTCGTCGTAACCTAGCCCGAATTGTGATAATGTCTTTGATTCGCCATGTTTTAGATTGCTTTTGACAATGCCCAAACGCATTGCAACTGCATTAATATTGGCTGCATATGATTAACCAATAGCATAGTTAGCCTACAGAACGTATCCAATAATTGGTCTACGTCCATCCGATAGATTCGAGAGGGTCAATGACCTGTCCTGGTTATGAGCCGTCCAGGTCCTTGAACCTTCCGTATTAATGGTCTGGAGGTGTTCCCGCCAAGAAGAACAGTTTTAATCAGGACGCAGAGGAACAAATTGATTTCTGCGAAAGGGCTGGGCCACCAAAACGTTGGAAGTGATTGAAAATAGCCACAGATCTGCTTCATCCCATCATATCCCCACTGACATTGGGTTCATCTCTGGCTTGCACACGACATAATTTAAACACTAGATGTAAAAGTTCAACGATTGATTTTGAACCTGGTAATCAAATTGCCCGACTCATGAGCCATTTGATAGAAATAACTGGAAGCGATCAACACAAAAAGGCTGGGCATGGGTGCTCATTTTAAAATGGAAACCATCAAAACCTGCTGGCCACATTTTGCCTGATTGTTGACACGAACATTCTAATTTGTGGATTGGGCACAGCTGCTGCTTTTTTAGATTCGTAAAGGAATGTGTGAGAACACGTGTAAGAAGAAGTGCGCAAGTGATGCGATGCCCAATGTGACAGTGATTTTTTTTTGTTGCATCATCATTCATTGGTTCGTCACGTAAGATAATGTGCTGGGCTATATAATGGCATTGCTCGTGTCTCCAGCCCTATAACCATTCCTTAATTAACGAAGTTAGTTATGGTTTTGACAGATGCAACGTTTTCTTCTTTAAAAAAAATCCGATACCGGTGTCAGCTGAAGCACAGAGATAAGCAACTAACGCCAAGGATTTCGGGCTGATGCCGGCTACTGGTGCCGGCTACTGGCACCGGCTTCCATTGTGTCCCATGCTGGCAGACATATCCTGGCACTGACAGACAAGCAGGACACTTATAATGGCATATGTCAATCCACACACCACTCCAGTGCCGCTAACACGCCGACTCAGCACGGCCCGCGAGTACTTCAAGGCCCAGATGTTGCATATATGGTCAAACCCTGCCTGAACGAAGGCTATACATGAAGTTTGGTGCTGCGAGAAACACAGATTTCCCACCAGCAATAATGACTTGCGTTTGCTCGATTTCTTAGAAGGCCCACGTTGATAGGTAACCAGGGCAATTTATTCAGCCATAATACAAAGCATTGTTGCAAGAATTCCGGCCGGCTACATGTCAAAATGTTTCCAACATTTAAACAATTATAAAATTAATGATCGCCACCTCTAAGCTGAGATAAGGCGGCGCTACAATTGGCACTGCCCTTGCGACATACACAGGGGAAAGTTCCAACAAAGATTATTTTGCCTTCAACGCAACGCGGTCTTTTCTTCTGAACAGCCGAGCTCCCCGTATACCGTCTGATGCAGCTTGGATCATGATAATTTTCACTTCTCAGTTGAGCGCACGTAGTGACGTATTTTGTGCCCTTGCAGTTAGGGGCTGCAGTGCAACTCCAGGACCGTTTTATGCATATGCATATGTTGCAAAAAGTTCCATCTTCACCTAGCTGTAGTCCAAAATCATGTTCCATGCTCTCAAGACATGGCAAAAGTGCTTCTTTTCTGGCAGTAGACTTGTCTAAGAGCTGCAAAGTTTCATTCGATTCAAGTCCTAACCCCAAAGTTATTACCAGGGAAAGTAAAAAAAAGGATGAAAGGAAAAAACGCATCTCGAGTAGCTTAATTTTCTCGGTTTTCAATTTTGAGATGGTAAACTGATGTCAATTGCTTACTAAGCTTCGCAGACAGGACGCTAACGATTTGGCGATATGTGATGTAGCATGGGGCAAGGGAAAAAGTGCCGTTAGTAAACGCTTACGGGAAAGAAAACTTGCTTCCCTTTTGCGAGAGAAAAAACACGTGCATTTGAAGCGCTCTACTTCCTACTTGCGGACACCATTTCGAATTGCCAGGTAATAATACATTCAGATTGCATATTCCAAGCTAAGCTTATTGCATATCATAAGAGCGACAAATTGCATCCAGACACTTGTTGCGTGATGCACGCAATCGCCATCAGTACAGTGCATTATGCATTTCCGTCTTTGTCGAAAAGTGCCTGTCTTCATGGCTTCTTCATACCTTATATGGCGCATTGGTCGGTGAGCTCTAATGTGGTTGGAACAATGCTCACTGTTTAATCCTTGCTCGGATTCGGCGCTTTCTTTGCCTCGAATTGGCAATGGGATGCCATTGTCTCGCCAGTCCCAAACCAAGAAGGCCAGAGCCTCACACGACCAAAAACAAGTGAATGAGCCTCGGGAGGATCCTGTGATTAGTCATAAGTTTTATGCTAGTTGAACAGGATCCCAGCCCAGCCAGCATTCCTCAGGCGTGTTGACACGCAACATTGTAGGGCCGCTGTAGTTTGAGGCACCCTCCCAAATTTTTTTGGCTCTAAACAAAATACATGAGATTTCTGTAAACTGTCGCTATCAGTCCGCCTGCCATACACATCACGCGCGTAAATGTAAAAAAATAAATGACACGATGTGTTTTGGTTCATGACATTTTATGAGGTCATGAGGTTATTAGATTTGGTCTAAACTGGGATTTTTAATCCAACATACGAGTAGCTACGTTGTTCATGCTACACAGTGAAGGTAGAGAATCGATGCTACCAAACAACCTTTTCCAACAAAAAATGTGATGGACGGAATAAAGGTGCAATCTAAAGCTACGTAACATGTCAAATGCATCATGCGTGGCATGTAGATGTAGTGTTGACCCCGACCAGGTGCAACGACGTGCTACGGGACGTTGGTTTCTGAACAATCACTCGTATTCTGTGCGTGCTCCGTAGGGGTACAGGAACGGGCAGCGACGGGGGTGGGTTGGAGAGGAGCAAGCTATTGGTATTTTTGCGCGATCTTGTCTGCAAGGCTTCCCACGAACTGGTAACAATCGCGAACACTTCTAAACTCGGTTGCTGATACGGGCAAACGAACCGTGTTATGATAGATGGAAATGCAACTTGAGATCGGGGACTGGATTTGGTGAGGGAGCCCGAAGTGCGTGATCAAAACCACGTCATATGCTGTCATGTAACCCGCTGCTCTGACCAGGCACCGGGGCAACACCCGCACCATGCGCAGCACCTCGGCCGGAGCAGACGCTTGTCATGGCAGACGCAGCCTGGTGACTGAATCTGTCTGGCTTCAGAAAAGTGACGGCACTGAAGGACATAATCTGATGTGAATATTTCCTTTTCATAACATTCAGTAGCGTTACAGGTACTTACGGCGCACACATCTGGCATCTATTGGCGTTTTCACTTAAAGACCTGTCTGAACATGTTCTCTCGAAGAATGTCCCAGGACAACGTACAAGTTGACTCAGTTCCTGACCGTGTCCAAGAATGACTGCCTTATCGTTGATAGAACAGCTGCGCCATTGTCGCTGGATAAAAAATAAACAGCTCCGCAACACCTATGATTTCGGAGGACGGCTTCTTCGGCGCTCGCCTCAATCTAAAGGTTACACAGGTGTAAACAGGGCATTTTGATGTTACCCAAAGCCGTTGACGGTCAGTTTTGTACTGAGCTCAACTTAATATGGTTGCCTATACCCACCGTCTTCTTTATGACACAGGATTCCACGCCCGTTGAAAGTAGCAGTAGAAGCATCCGTCACATGTGAAGACGGCACAACGCTTTGAACTGGAAGATCCGGACAATCTCGATGCACGATATATTCTACAGCTGCGCTCACGTGTACTGGATTATACCGGATACAAATCAGGAATACATCATTCTCACACTTTTGTGACTGACGCACGTGGTACGCTCACACGTAAAGCTTTTCGAGCCACGATCAAATTAATTTCCATCCTACACAAAGAGTTGACACCCCACCTGGGTGTCTCTAACCAGCAGTCCCTGCATTCCATTGTGCTCACACATTTGCACGATGCATTACTGAGATATTCCTTTGATCCATCCGATCCAACACATTTAGCTGTAATCCACTTTTTTCTTGATAACGCCAAGACACAACAAAAGGAACAAGAGCGACGACTTGCTGCAAAACAGTCCACCACAGCGCACAGCCCTCCGCCGCCGAGAGAGCGCCAATCTGGGAGGAGGCACAGAGGCTGGGGCGGCCTCATGGCCGACACCATCCCACGTATCCCCCCAGGCCGGACAGCGCCACCAGTGTCTGAAGCAATGCTCAACACTGCAGCACCTGCACCAGGTGACGACATTGACGCAGGCTCTTGCAAAAGCGCACAACGCCGCCTCGTCGCGGTGCTGTGCGCGTGGCGCAGAGAAACCGCACAGCACCACTGCGCGACGACAGAGTCGCTGAGAGCACCAGACCGGCGCCACCGGGAGGCGACACAGCGCCCCATGCGCCCTGCGCAGCGCCGCTGCTCGGCGTCGGGCGTGATGCGTCCGTGGCGCCGCCTCGCCGCAGTACAGTCTCTGACACAGTGCCGGAGGGGGCCGAGCGAGAGAAGCTGGCGTCGCGCCGTGCCCGCGGCGACCCCCGCCTCGGCGACAGGTCAGCCGCGGCTGGTCGGTCGTCCAGCGCGCTCGGGGACTGTTCACGTCAGCGTTCCGACCGGTCGCGAGGTCCCAGCCGGGCAGAGCGCGTGGCGTCCCCTGGCAGTGCATATCACTGTTTGTGCTTCACCTCCAGCAGCTGCGGATAGTTCTCCACGATGCTGAGCAGGATGCCGTCGATGTACGTGCGCAGCTGCTTGTTCACGTCCTGCTGCTCCAGCAGCGACTTCTTCAGCTGGAACGGAGGACACCTGGGTCACGCTTTAGCACCGCCAGGCCATGCAGGTTACACTGTCGGGGATTTTGCGCGGCGGAGTAGGTGCATTTCACCGAACCTTTACATGCGAACGGTGTATGACTTGACGGCACACCGCGAACAGGTGGCCCACCAGCTCCTTCGCTATTTACACGTTGAACGTCATTGTCATCGTGGCGGGCTGATCTCAACCAACCAATACACGGATTTTATGCGGAGAATCACCAAACGCTGAACACGTCGTCGTAGTCGTAGAAGCACACCTTCCACAATCGCGGTGCACACACCCCATTCAAACGTTTCTGCCATACATTGCAAGATGCATTCATGCAGCGTGCCAACAGCAGTGCGATGTTCAGCAAACATTAAACAAGCGTGCCATAAGGTCAGGGTCAAGCTTACGGCGACGCAAACCAAACACAGCGGGCACGCAAGGTCTATGTGTGACACATAAGCCTGTCATGCTGCTTCAGTGCACGGCACCACCGCTATGGATTGGTGACCAAGTATATCGGGCCAAAAGCCGCTGCTCCCTGTGCGTTGAATGCGCGTGCAATCTTGCATGGGGGGAGGGGGGGCAGTGGTCGTCAAAAGTGGTGTTGTGTTAGTGTTAATAGAAAGCTCGTACAACCGTAATCATATCTGCGTCCCCTCTCACCTTTTGCAACGTTTCACCACTATCGACCTTGAAAAAGACAGTTTTATATCAACGCATGTCGCACAAAGAATGTTATCATGCTTTAATGTTTCAGTCGTTGAACAGTGTAGGATTTGTTACGTCATGAGTCATTTAAATTTTAGACGCCCTCATGCCATGTCAAAGACTATATCTAGAATAGCTTCTAAGCCTTGTCTATCTAGGTCTTCACGGGCAATTACTTCCCTTTAAATGTCGGATGGACGTGTTCATAGATCAATATCGTCATTATTCACGTCGTATATTCACAACGAGCTTGAAACGAAAAAGCCCGTGTGTGTTCACCTCCCGGGCTGCCTACATGCTGCGCCATGGCTGGCAGGGCAAGTCTCAGATGTAGATTAAAAACCATTCGCGGCACGAGCCGTTCTGAAGGCTGTCAAAAATCCCCAGTATCTGAAGGTGTAAAATCCCCAGTATCTGAAAGTGTAAAAATCCCCAGTATCTGAAGGTATAAAAATCCTCAGTATCTGCCCACGGCAGCGAAATCGTTTGTCGTGACGCACGCTTTCCGATCATTTTAGCCGCAGCTTCTGCGAGAAAACTGGGAGATTGAGCATAGTCAAATTATGGATGAAATTCAGCAATAATGAAAACGCTTGTGGCCCAACTTCAGTCTAATGGCAAGAAAGGGCGGTACTTAAAGCGCAAATGACTAAAAGGTGCATGACAACGCATGTAAGCAAATAAACCGCTCGGTAGCAGGAAAACAGAACTGCAATTGTGGAATTGTTCACCCGCCAAACAAATCGATAATGCTCGTCGAGGTAGCAGTCATATAGCACGGACACTCACGAACACATTTAGGTGCTTAGTTACAACGAACTTCGGCAAAAACAAAACAAATTTAAATGTTCCTTCCTTTGCTGAAGATATGTCCACCAATCGATGTCTGACATTCTTTGGCTGTCTTTTACAGGGCGATGACCGGTACACCTTTATGGTAATGGTAACGTGCGAACAACAGCGGCTGGTCCTGAGCGAGAGAACAAAAGGACGAGGCTCTTTCTCTCTCCATTGGAAATAAGACTCAGCGCCTTAAACGACACACTAATACCCACCGCACACCGGTCATCACCCTCCAAACAGATAGCAAACTCATTCACATCCAGCAGAGATAAATAAATGCTCCCTGGACATCCTCTGATCCAGTGGATTTCCTCCACGTGGCCCGCCGAGTACGCACCTCCTCTCCCGACATGTCCTCCAGCTCCAAGGCCAGGCTCTTGGGCCCCGACTCCAGCAGCTGTCGGCCCTCTTCTAGGCCGTTAGAGAGCAGCTGCGCCTGCAGCTCCTCGTTGCTCTCCTGCAGCTCTGCGGGGAGGGGGGAGGGGGGGGGGCAGTCAGCAGAGGCGGCAGGCGCCGCAGTCTGGGGATAATGACGTCACCGGGGGACGACGCCCGGGCGGCCTGCCCTTGGCCTCAAAGTGAAGCCCGCTGGATTGCGAATGTTAACCAAATCCGAAAGAGAGAAACCTGGGTTTTTCGACCCCGCAAACTCTTTGCCTCACCCCCTTGCATCCCCTAAGCTAAAAGCTCACCGCGACGCCATTACGGCTCTGACCGAACAACACCTGCGATAGCAACGTAGCATCGTAGCAATTTTTTTTGCGTAGTGATTGTTGAAGTGATTTAAGCAATTTAAGCCGGCTTACCCCCCAAACTGCTGTGGGTGGCGCAGCGTCAGCATGGTGAGCTTCATATGCCTCTGGACGCACGACCACACACGACCGACACGAGAGGATCAAGTCCTACTCGGTGTGGGTACCCACCCACACGGCACATCATTGACAAGCGAGGATGATGTGCTGCTCGATGTGAATGCCCACCCACACAGCATATGATCGGCACGAGAGGCTGGAGTCCTGCTCGGTGTGGTTACCCTCCCACACGGCACATGATCGGCACGAGAGGGTGAAGTCCTGCCCAGTGTCGGTACCACCACCCACACGTGCTGCTCCAGAGGAGTGAGGGAGACGAAAGCAAATACTTATTTGGCCGGTTTGATGGTTGAACTGCAAGGATACAAAGACCGGCAAACCACGTAAAATCTGTCTGCACAAGTGCTGAGCAGACATCTGAGCCCTATTTGAAACAATGATTTGTCTTGTCCGCATCTGTTCGTCTATGATTCATTCACCCCGCTATCCCCTCATCAATGTCCCCACACATGCCTACTTCAGCAGTGGCCTTCACGCCAGCCCATCGCGTGCACGTGACACCCCAGCAGAGTAGCGGGACGCCTGGACTCATCACTCAGTCACCGACGCCCGCCCTGGACTCATAACTCAGTCACGAGTCCGCCCCTGGACTCATCACTCAGTCCCACGAGTCCGCCCTGGACTCATCACTCAGTCCCGAGTCGCCCTGGACTCATCACTCAGTCACGAGTCCGCCTCGTCGCCGGGCCGTCGCCTGGGCGTGGACCCGCTGCCGCTGCTGACCTTTGTTCCGTTGGCGCAGCTCCCGCAGCTCCGTCTCCAGCTCGCCCTGGCGCAGCCGCATCACGCCCGACTCGTCCGACTCGGTCTTGAGGCGCAGGCTGGCCTGCTGGCGCGTGTCCTCCAGCTCGCTGGAGAGCTCGGCCACCATCTGAGGTCACGAGTCAGAGGTCAGGTCACGGGAGAGCTCGGCCATCATCTGAGGTCAACAGTCGGAGGTTAGGTCACCACAGCTCGGCCACCCCCTGCGGTCGTCAGAGGTCAGGTCACGGAAGAACTTGGCTACCCTCCGAGTTTATCGGTCAGGGGTCAGGTCACGGAAGAGCTAGGCCATCCCTTGAGGTCAGAGGTCAGAGGTCAGGTCACGAAAGGGCTCGGCCGCCCTCTGAGATCAGCAATCTGGACACGGGTGAGCTCGACCACGGCGTTAGGTCGACAGGTCGGAAATACAGGGAACTCGATCACCATTTGATGGTCTGCCACGCCGACAGGCTGCCTCAAAAAAGAGCTCCGGCACCGTTTGAGAAAGATACAGATCTTAGGCCGTAACACAAGATGTTCATGAGGCCAGGGTTTAAGCAAGGCTGGTCAGGTCTCACTAAACCATACTGCCAGAGGCCGCAAAGAAGTTCGAACAAAGTTTCACGACGGTAATGGGCACGGCTGGCTGAAGAGTGATCCCTTTTACGCCAAAATTGCCCCAAGGCGAATTAGTTCCGAGCCAGGAGTCGGCTGCGCTTCAACTTCCACGACGCAATTAAAACGGAAGTCCAGCTCTCTGCTAGCTGCTGCAGTGCCGCACGTGAATACCCGCCGCAGGTCTCCGACCGCGCCGTCCCACACTCCGCGAACCACACCGAACTGCCGAAGCGCAACACTCACACTTCTCCCATCTCCCTCCCAGTCCATCATCACGCCCCCCCCCCTTCCCCTACCCTTCCACTGACCTGCGACTGGAGTGTGCGCTCCTGCTCCAGCTCCTGACGGCCGCGCCGCTCCAGGTCGGCGGCACGCCGACTCTCCAGGCGCGCCGCCTCCAGGCCTGCCTCCAGCTCGGCCAGCCGCTCCTCCAGCTGGGCTCGGCCGGCCGCCGCCGCCTCCAGCTGCTGACGCGCGCGCGCCGCCTCCGCCTCGGCGAAGCGCACCTCCTTCTCCAGACTCTGCAGCCTGGGACGGAGCGGGAGCGGTACGGACCGTCAGGTCGGCTCCTCAGGATGTGAAGACTGAACGGAGTGAGGTGATGTGGCATAAGGGGCTTCGCGACTCGCGGATATAACTGCGGCCTTCCTCCACCTGGCTCTGGCTCTGGCTCCCGCTCTGGCTCTGGCCCTGGCTCTGACTCTGACTCTGGCTCTGACTCTGACTCTGGCTCTGACTCTGGCTGTTGCTGGAGCCACTTGGCTCTAACGTCACAAGCGGCGGGATGAGGTTGAGAAAGAAAACACCTCCTTTCACAACCGCCGCGTCCAATGGATCAGAATACCGTGAAAACGGAACGCATTCACTGTTCCAGATCTTAAGTCGGAGCCTCCGCACCTGGCTTGCAGCCAGATCCGAGTGTTTTTGTGAACGACGCGATGACCCCGCAATCGAGTGGATATAATCATAGTGATTGGATGCACTGGCCACCGCAAATCAGACAGAATTAATCTCACAACCACGTTTCGCCCCGGTTGACCGCACACGGGTGCAGTTAAAAAACGGCCTTAATGGAGCACTGTTGCACAGTTTAAGCCCAATCAGTAACATGTTCATGTACTCAGGCCTACCGACTCTAATGACGGAATGCAACTAGTGGAGAACAAAAATCCGAAATTGAGACCATGACATACAACGGGCTTACTATACGAGAAAAGCACGCACTCAGCGCTGGCACCATGCCTGTGTGCCCAAGGGAGTCGTGAGAGTGTGATACGACTGACCTGATGGTCTGGTTCTCCAGCTCCAGCGTCTTCTCCCTCTCCAGTCGCTGCATCAGCTCCTTGTGTCGTCTCCGCTCCGAGTCCAGCTGCTCCTCCGAACGCAGCTCCACCTCGCGCAGCTGAGACGCCCCGGAAGATCAGCACCGCACACACACACTACAGCACGGCCACTAACACACCGGACGATCAGCACGGTCACTAACACACCGGAAGATCAGCACCACACACACACACTACAGCGCGGCCGCTAACACACTTGACGGTCAGCACCGCACACACACATTACAGCACGGTCACTAACACACCGGACGATCAGCACCGCACACACACACACACTACAGCACGGCCATTAACACACCGGATGATCAGCACCGCATACACTACAGCACGGTCACTAACACACCGGATCAGCGATCAGCACCGCACACACACACTACAGCACGGCCACTAACACACCGGACGGTCAGCACCGCACACACGCACTACAGCACGGCCACTAACACACCGGAAGATCAGCACCACACACACTACAGCACGGTCAATAACACGAAGCTGAAAAACACGAAGCTGTCTGTCGTGAGACAACTTGATACATTATTTGATACACGATAGACATGTCAACGGTATATATGTGACATTTGAGTACCAATTAGAATATAATGGGTATTGGATTTATACAGTGCGCACTAGATATAAAATGGGGATGTTCTTCCAAACCCAGCGTGTCATTCGGCCGCATCGCGACGTACCCATCACCGACAAGGTCGCTACAAGGATGTCTCGAACCCACATATCTCTCTAGCGTGAAAACGCAGTGGTGCATTCATAACGGCAACGGCTCCACCCTATCCACCAGGTACCTTCAGTGACACGCGGCGCATCATGCTGATCTTACATTAGCATCCGACGATGCTGCTAAATCATCCAAAAGACATCCCAATGAAGGAACTACAGCTGAAATTGCGGTCTGGCAAGATCCTTGGACACAGGTGTTTGAGGGTTGTATACCCAGAACACCGTCCAAATAAAACACATTGCAGAATATACGGAGTTCTGAAGACAGGCTGTAAGCACTGCCTTATCGTATGTCCTCCATAAAAAATAGATCTACCTCCTTCCCTCAAAACTGTATTTTTCTCTAGTCCATCTCAGCCAAATGATACTTACTAATTTGGGCGATGCTGTCAGTCATTGTAGCCCTGGGCAGTGTTTGAAATTTACAAATTTTGAAACAAAATTTACTTCTTTAATGAACAATTATCCGGACAACTTTTTGTGTCATTCATGTTTTAGGTAATAGTCAGTTACCTTTCGCACTTAAATACCCGATTTTTTTTTTACTTTCCAATCGAGGAAGCTGGGCGAAAAATGTGACAGCGGGTCTAACGTTCCCACGTCACACCCCAGGCACAGCGCGACCCGTCCCTGACCTGTTCCTCCAGCACGATGAGGCGCGCCTGCAGACCCGTCACACCCCAGGCACAGCGCGACCCGTCCCTGACCTGCTTCTCCAGCATGATGAGGCGCGCCTGCAGACCCGTCACACCCCAGGCACAGCGCGGACCCGTCCCTGACTGCTCTCCAGCATGATGAGGCGCGCCTGCAGACCCGTCACACCCCAGGCACAGCGCGACCCGTCCCTGACCTGCTTCTCCAGCATGATGAGGCGCGCCTGCAGACCCGTCACACCCCAGGCACAGCGCGACCCATCCCTGACCTGCTCCTCCAGCATGATGAGGCGCGCCTGCAGACCGGCGTTCTCCTCCTTGCTGCGCGTGTACCGGTCATCGTTGTTGTTCTGGTTCTCCGCCAGCACCGTCACCTGCCGCTCCAGCACCTGCACCTGACGGCACCGACAAGTCAGGGGTCAGGCCACCTGGAGCAACAGGCCAGCCACCACTCGTGCATGTGCTCAGGGTCAAGAAAAAAAGAGGAGCCAAGTCAAGCCGACAGTTAGGTCAAGGATCAGGGGACCTTCTGCTGAAATCAAGTCGGGGCTAGATGGGGGAAAAGGGTCGCATTACAGTGTACTACCTCTTTTGAAGTGTGCAGTCAAGGCCGACGTCAGGCCGCAGGTTCATGGGAAACAGCCAGTTTCTTTAAGTGATACTGTAATTCAAGCGACATTATGTTCGCACCGTACACATGCATTGGCACCCAACAACTTTCTTGTGCTTCGAACGACGTCTTTCAGGCATTGTTGATAACGAGTTGATAAGATCAAACAGTCCCAGGCTACGTGATCATACGGTTGCAGGTTAACAAGAGCCCGCTGTTTCACGTCAATAGCACTAAAAGGAGATATGTTGAACGTTAAGCATATTATGTGCAGACATCTCTCATTCAACACGAGTCGCGCGATGACACTTTAGCCAGGGCTCAACAAGCTAAAGGGGGAGTAGAGAAAGGCGTTTCGCAGCATTCCGCACACGTCACATCACATCACGTCACATCTACGCGATTTATCAGGTCATTAACCGTAACAAGACAAACCAGAAAAGCTGACACCACAGCTGGCGGTGAGGTACAACGCACGACTTTAAGCTAAGCAGGCCGTTGGATCGGGTCATAGGAACCCTATTTCAGTCACGTGGATCACTCAATGTCACTCTCAGGGCCCTATTGTTGGATTGAGAGAACCTGCTTAGACTGGGGATCGTCTTCCTATGCCTCGATGGGCTGTTTTTGTGTGTTATAAGCCCTACGGAAGTCTTTGAATTCCCAAAAGCGCCAGACCCTTTGGACCCAAAGGGGCCCCATCCGCCGCCCCATGGAGGAGGGGGGGGGGGGGGGGGGGGAGAAAATTCGTCTTGGGCGCGCACTGCGAACGATCAAGGTACCGTCATTTCGTTCGGGCTGAGAACCCGAGCCATTCTCATAGAGACGAACAAAGCCGCCCACCCAATGCGGATGGAATGAAGCGTTCGTGGGTGTAATCGCCTGCTCATCGAGCTTATGATATTAATCATTTGAACGGGACAGCGTACACATTTCATCTTCACCGCGCCTTGAGATGCTTCAGTTTAATACACCTGACTAACGAACAGCTTACACCTGCCTTAGAGAAAGCGCTCAAGTTATGGCATCGTGTCTCGTAACTATGCTTTCAGCTGCAGTAGCTTCACCGGAAAAGCGTCACTGAGTCTTCTCGAAACAACTTACAGTAAATTTCGGCATGAGTTTCCTGCGCATTACGAGTGTACGATTTTCCTGGTATGGTAACACGCTGCTCGGTGGGCATCTCACCGCAAGCCGCCTGCAAAGCTCTCTCTAAGCAAACATCCCACATCCTATTTCGTGTGTGGGCAAATCCTCGGCACCAGTGACGTCACGGCCGCACAGTACGCCAGCATACGCACGGCGCGGATGTGACCAGCGAACCTCGATCGGAGAGTCGGCGCAGTCGCCGCAGGGGACGCAACCGGCGCCGACGCTGTCCGCCGGAAGACGCGTGAGTCACCGCAGTCGCAGACGGGACGTGCCGCCCCGTCTAGTGGCGGTGACGCCAGCTTCTCAACCGCCGACTCGGGTTTCTCAGGGAGTGGCCAGCGGCAGCGCGAGCGGACCCGACCTCGTTTTGGCGGGAACTTGGCTACCTACAGTGACTACGACTTCACTTGGTGTACGCGGAGCTTTCATGGCGGACTACCGCGAGACGCATCCGGCAGGAAAGCAGTCGTCGCTGCCCATGAGCTCTGAGATCCGCGAGGCAGGTGCGCCAGTTCGAGCACCAGAACTCGGGATCCCACGCGCCGCCCAGCTGGCACCTCTCCAGTGGATCAATCGGCCTCAGGTCGGGTTTTGACGCGCCCTTGACGCCAGGCCGGGACCCAGGGGACTCATCCCCGCCACCTAACACGTTTACTTTGGGCGGCAGCTCACCTGCCTCATCACAATATGTGATCACATCGACACTTCTTATCTTAGGCGATCATGATTCATCAACGTCACGTCCCGTCATCTCCATTCCGATGGGTTCGTAACCGAACCATCGCTCGACATCCGCGCACGCCAGTACCGGGCCCTGTTTTACCAAATCAGGCCAGCAGGTAGGGGGGTGTCGGCAGCTGGCGTGTCGGCAGCCAGTGGCATCAGAGTGGGGAGCGCTGAGGAAATAGTGGCGGGTTGAAGCGTCCCATGGCAAAATGTTCTAGATCCCATGCCCCCTGGTCAACCCTCCGGGTACCTTAAACATGATTTTTTTCGGCGGATTTACCCAGCATCATGTTTTCATTCGAAGGTACCGGCGGCGAGGTGGTATAGGCCGAGCAATCTGCCGCAGATAGAAGCCTCCAACGACAGTCAGCTACTCCCTAGGCTCTTCAAAGCTGCAGGACCGCTACTGCCACGGAAACACACACCGCCACTCACTTTCTCCAACGTGTCCAGGTGCCAGGAGAAGACGTCGCCTTCAGCCGGGCCAGCACCGAGGAAGCTACACTGGCCCTCCCCACCAGTCGTACTCCAGGTCGGGCTCGGCGTCCCCGCGGCCCTCACCGCCCTCCGAGCCGAGCTCGTACCCTCCCGCCGGCGAGCGCGCCAGTTTTGGCGCACGCATGGCGCGCAGGAACTGCCGCAGGTGCGGCGAGACGGCCGGCGCGGCCGACGCCGACCGGTTACCGGTCGCGTGCGCCGGGTCGTCCGGGTCGAGGTCGCTGCCGGAGCGCAGGTCACCGACCGACGAGACCAGGTCGTCCTCGAGGCCACTGTCCAGGTCCGGGTGGTCGGACGTGCTGCAGGGCCGCGCCATGACCTCCGATCCCAGGGTCACGGGTGAGGCCGCACAACGCGGGCCGCGGCTGACCTCTGGCCGCACGGTCACAGAGCGGGCATCCGACACGGGTTGGCGTGAGGTGAGCGTCTCCTTGCGTCGGATGCCGTGGGTGCGGACCTGCTCCTGGCCGCATACGCCTCGGCCACGGGAGATTCCGACCCCTTCTGAGGTCAACTTCTCGTCACGGCGACGCTCGAAACTGCACCGTTCCCGAGCACTGGTCTCGCCTGGTTCACCGGCCGCCGCCGCTGAACAACATTGCACTGCGGCTGGAACCCGCTCAGACGAGCACCGCTGACGATCGCCGGCGCTGACGAACCCGCTGACGACCCGACACGCCCGCCGACCTGACCTGCCGCTGAGTCTGCTGATGGTCTGTCTCGAAAAGCGACGGTTCTTCTGACGCTCCGGAAAGGCGAGGATCACAGGTCCCGCTGCTCCGCGGCGCCGTCGCCCGCGGCGGCCGCGCGTGAAAACTCACAGCCCCGCCCTGGGTGTCGGCAAATATTTAGCCTCGGGCGGCCGATGAGGTCACGACGTGGACGGCTGCCAGCGCCCGGGGGCGGAAACAGAGGACTTCCCGATGAGAGCGCCGCCGCCTTCCACCAACCCTCCCACCAGTTACGTCCCAGAGATTAAGTGCTGGTCACAGTGAGACGGATGCAGAGTTCGTAGAGACCGTGAACTTGGCGTATTGAATAACTAACGTACATATTTCATATTTATCCCGCCTGATCCTATCTTCATAATCCTGGTACTGGTCAAGGTACCTGTTTTATACGTAGATATCAAAACCTGATTAGTTTGAAGTTCGGGAAGCTCGGGAAGACTGGCGGGTCCCAAATGATTCTCAGAAATGTAACAATTGTCCGGTCTGTTCCGGCTGGCGCACGCTTCAGACCTCTTTCTCAAGAGCGACTGCGCGGGCGCCGAACTGCCAGCCACCTTGGACTGGGTTCCCTGGCATCTGACTCGCCGGCGCCGCCCCGTCAACACACACCTCCCGTGCCAGAGATCGCGCTCCTTCATACCGATTCTGCCGGCGGCGCCTAGCGGTGCTCAGCCGTCGGCACGGCCCGAGGTCTCACTCGAGACACGGCTGTCCCACGGAGCCGGGTCGATCACGGTCTGACACATCTGTGTGCTCGCCGACCCCTCTGACGGGGGCATGCTCAGCTCAACCGGCGCCCTCGCGATGACATCACCCCCGACGTGGGGCGAGAAATAAATAAACCCAGGAGGGAGCGGGGCGGGCCGCCGCAGGCAAGTCTCCATCAAACTGGCCAGCTGCACGAGGGCATTGTGAGGAAAATGTGACTGGCAGGAGATCTCTGACTCCGCAAATGCCCACGAACTAATGAGCTGCTTAGTGCTTGAAATTTATTCATACCTGAACAGTCTACGCTTTATGTAGAAGTGTGATCGTATGAACAATATAGTACCCACAGAAAGAAGCATTATGAAGCAGCCCTTGTGCAATTTCGGGCACGCAGGTAGTTCATGCCTGCATTTCATGCAAAGGTTACTCGGGTGGTGAAATAAGCAGAGCCTGGTTCCAGCCAGAGTCCAGATAAGCCAATAGCTGACACGAAGCGCCGCAAAAGACGACACCTCCTGCGCCAGCAGCGTCTGCTCGGTGACCCCTTGAGCGCACGGCCCAGGCCAGGCCACGCTGAGCAGCGACACCACTCACCCCCGGTGAGTTGGTGTCGTAATCGATGGTCAGTTTACACGAACAGTAACGGGTGAGGCAGACTCCAAGCCCCCCCCCCCCCCGCCCCGCTGCGCTGCCGGCCTCAATCTCTAGGCGGGGGTCCAGCGCCTTGGACGCTTCCCAAATCTGGGTGGCTTTGTTTAGAACTATCGGTCTGGTGTTTAAACAACTTGCCGGCGCTAGCAAGACTCGGGCGCCGCTGTTAAAAGCGCACTCTCACAACCGCGGGCGGCTGTATTGCTGCGCTGAAAAGCGGTGAATCTAGGCCGGTCGGATGGCTTGGTTTAGAAGCCCTCTTACTTTCTAGACGTAGATTTGCACGTGAAGCGTGCAGTGGTTTCAGCATGCAGTCGCG